GTCCTATGTATGGCAAGAGTACAGCTTCATAAATCCAACACGTTACACTAGACTTGAAACCAAATTAAGGAGAAAACCTTGGTACAATGAGTACGATTACAGTCGAAAAAGTATAACTAATGTTAGCAGAATGAAGTTTGGTCACGCATGTTATCCAGCACATTTATTTAAAATAAAAATACTTGAGAGTGATATTTGCGAAGCCTGTAATAAAATCGGTGATCTTGACCACATCTTTTTTGATCGTTTAAAATATAGAGCTTAATCTAACGAGCTTTTCAGTAAACTTTTAAAATTAAACATTGAAAGACCATTTATTATACTGCATCTTCTTGCTTTAGATAAGAAAAAATTTACGATTGTTTGCTGTCTTTCGTCAGAACAACGAATATACAAATATAACCACCTTTGTTAATTTCCTATGTCTTTCCTTAATGTATGCATACCTATCTGTCCGAGGCCTACATTTTATTGTTTATAAAAATGCCCTGATCGGCCCCTGGGCGAGAAGAGTGTAATCCCTGTGTAAACCCTGTATTTGTTTTTAAAAATTTGTTTCTGGCTGTGTGAGGATTTACCCTAAAGCCAATAAAAAAAAACTGGTAATGGGCATTAAATATAAAAAGAAGAACTGACAGGTGGTCCACCAGAATTAGACTATGTCATCTAAAATATATCAAACACCAAAGTAGACCTCTAAACAAGACCCTGCCATACTTCCATAAGGAAAGAAAATTTTCAAACAATGTAACTGTTTAAACTGTGTCATAAATATAGTGTTGATCAGTGTTGTTATAATAATTATATATTGAAAAATACTATAGTACCATAGAATTTGCACATACTTAACAATATTGGGGATGAATGTATAAATAAAATACATGTACGGCATGAAGAAAAACTTTCTCATTTCTAACTCAAAAGTTTAAAAGATTAACTTCATCAGCCGGAGTGTGTAATGAAACAAAACAACAAACTCCAATCTCAAACAATGCATTTTGTCTTTCGTTGAGACTGAAATAAACAGAACAAAAAACAGGACGATTTTATCTCTCGTCTTATTTATCCTCTTTAAATAACGTTTTACTCTGTTGAATGGCTTTTAGCAAGAAACCGTTTAGGATTTTAAGTTTAAGAAAATCGTTTAAGACTTTGGATAATTAAAAAATTCTGTAAAATGTTTCAAAAATTATTCAGTTGATAGGAGTTTACATGTATATAAACAAGTGGTGAATAAAAATATATTTAAAAAAATAAGTAAAACAAGGTCTTTTCTGCAAAAATAATGCTCAAACGTGGATAATCAACACTATACAAAGATACCGAGTAGAAATTATAGTAGTACCAATAAAGAAAAAAATGGATTAAGCAAAATATGAAATTTATAGGGTTATTTATTTATCATACAAATATCATATAAAGGATATTTAAAGTAAATACTCCAATAACAAAAAGGAAGCTTATGAAACAACTGAACTGAAATTTGAGAAAGAACAAGCTGCTTTTAGCAAGAATAAGAACAAATATCATATACACATTTATAAATTTTATTGAAAGAAAAACAAAACATGAAGACCCCTGCCCCATATTTGTTAATAGATATGGTCAGTAAACGAAGATGTGAATATTTTTCAAACGATAAAAGTAATATATCGGATTTACAACAGACACACCGGAAGAGTGATAAAATCAATCATCAGAATTTTTGTAAAAGAGATATAAAACAAGAAAACAACATAAATTCAGCACTATTATATTGGTGATAAATAGAGATCGGAATATACGTAAAGTGCATTTAAATGAATATTTTGGCTTACTTCAAACTACATTGCATGTTACTGTTGACGATGTATAGTAAAAAAAAGTGAACAAAGTTTGAACTACCTGTAATATGCAATTTTACTCGTTTGAAAAAAAAATCAAAATATCTTGAAGAGATGAGATTAAATGTAAATGAGGAAGCAATAAAAATAAAAGTGAAAACAACTATTGGAAAACAGAGAGAATGTTGAATAATGCAGAAGAGAATAAATTAAAACTGGGGAAACAACAATAGGGAAAGTAGAAGAATACGTATATTTTAAATATTGATTAAATTAAAAAGAGAAAATCAAACCACTAAAATAAAACTGCAAAAAAAACTAGCATGTACTGTAAAGCTGAGCTTCTTATTGAAAAACGAAAAAAACATCTTCTTCGCGTGCCATATCAGATTTATCCGACGTTGGCGATCAAAATTGCAAAGGCTTCTCGATCTATTGCAATGTGGATTAATTGTCCTGCATTTGGTATCTGAGTCCATTCACGAATGTTTTTTTTAAAGATAAAATTTTTTACAGAAGAAAATATACAGACCAATATCTCTAAACTAGAATGTTTGACTAATGTAAACTACCAGTACTTAAATAATATGGAGCACCAATACATACTCTGACAAAACAGAATTTACAGAAAAAGTAGGTAAACTTAAAAGGCAGTTGATTCAAATAAAACTAAAAGCTAAGAAGAGTAATATTGGCTAAGGAGGAAAATTTAAGTCAAAAATTGTATATAAACAGTAACTACAGTTTGATTTACATTAAAGTGTAGTTAGTATTTACACAATAGTAAATAGAAGTATGGTGAAAAGACAGAAAAAATCATTGACTAGAGAATTTATGAATATAAAAGTGGAAGATAGAGACCTCAGAACAGATGGCTGATGAAATTAGAGAACGTGTAGGAACAAGGTAGACGAGTATAGCCCAGACAAGAGAAAATATAAACAGGAGGAAGGGACATAATATGTAAAGTACTAAATGAATAAAAAGCTTTAGATAGATCAGATAAAAACCCACTAAAATTTGTGGTAAATTAATTTTAATATAATTTATAAAAAATTTACATTTTTATATACTATTCTCTTACACGTGTTTCAAGATTTAATGTGGTGGTGAAACTTAAATTAAACTCGACACTCGTCGTTGGACACTCCTCTATTTTCATTTGTTATTTGTATACATGTTTATGTTTAAAAATTTTAAAGTTCGTTATACCTAGGTCAAACTGAAGAAATCGACTAATTGTATTCCATTCAGTTTTTAAATATCTATTGATCTACACTACATATAGAGTGAAATTTTAAACATCTCCTACTTCTCGGTGTCAGTTTTAGATCTGCGATTAGCTTGGATAATTCATCTCTATTATGAGCTTTACGAACTAGAATCTTATTTTTCCATTCGTTAATATTTATAAGTCGAGACTTCTTTGTTTTGTCTACTTCAATTGTATTGACATTGTATTGTAGACATTGTATTCAATGTCTACACAAACTATTGTGTAAAAAATATTAACACTTGACATGTAAGTCAAACTGAAGTTAAATTTTTGACTTACATTTTCCTCCTTATCCAATCATTACTCTGCTTAGCTTTTAGTTTTATTTGGATCAACTGCCTTTCCGTTTTAGCTAGTTTTTCCATTAATTTTCGATTATCAGCGTATGTATTAGTGCTCCATATGTTAGTACTGATAGATTAAATTGGTCAAACTTTCTAGTTTAGAGATATTGCGCTGTATCTATGTTTTATTTTTCAATAAGAAACACATTTATACAGTCTATGTTAGTTTTTTTCGCAGTGTTCTTTCTGCGCAGCGGTTTGATTTTATTTGCTTAATTTGATCAATACATATTTCCAAATATACGTAGTCTCCTACTTTACTATTGTTTCTTCCCTCGTTTTAATTTCTTCTCTTTTGCATTATTCTTTTGCAATCTCATCTCTTCTAGATCTTTGGAATTTTTTTTAAACGAGTAAAATTGCATATCAGAGGTAGTTCAAACATTGTTCACTTTTGTTGGGTTTTTACTTTTTTCAAGTCGTTTATAACAACAGACTTATATAAAACTTTAACAATATAAATATATACTTATTGTCCATAACAGTTTGTAACTGCAACAGTCTCTTACACGACAGGTGACAAGCTTAACAAAGTATCTTTGTTATAGATGACCAACGCCGGTTTAATCAGGGGTTTTTTTCGGGGCTGTAGCACTGGGCAGTTAGGGTTCCAATAAGGTACGCTCGAAGCGCGTGGTGTTCCGAAATTATATGATTCTGGTAAAATAAAATTAGCATACAAATCTACATAATACTAATAATAATAATAATGAAATTTTGTGTTATCTTAACCTTTGAAACTATTTTGGAGACTTCAGAATCAGTGCCAGAGCACTCAGTCTCATCCGTTTCAAAAGTATTAAAAGATGATGAAGCAACCACCCGTAACTCAGCTTCTTCTTTTTAGGGTGCCTGTCCGTTAAGAATTTTGGCGATCATTCTGGCTATGATGATTTTGTTGGTTGCTATACGAAATAGCTGTGTTAAGGTCTTTCTATACCATGCTCTCAGGTTAGCAAGCCAGGATATTCTTCTTCGTCCTGGGGCTCTTTTTCCTTCAATTTTACCCTGCAAAATGCATTGAAGTAGCTCGTATCTGTCTTGATTTCTCATAATATATCCTAAGTACTCCAGCTTACGGCTATTCACAATATTGACCAAATCCGCGGTTGTCTTCATCCTCCGCAGTACTTCTTCATTTGTGACTTTGTCTGTCCATGGTATCTTCAGGATTCTTCTGTATAACCATAATTCAAACGCCTGAAGTTTTGATAGAGTTTCCGCCTTCAATGTCCACGTTTCTACTCCATACAGAAGCACTGAGTACACGTATAATTTAAGGAGCCTTATTTTTGTTTTCAGGGTGAGGTCATGGCTTTTTGAACACAGAGCTCATAGCCAAGAATGCACTTTTGGCCTTTCCGATGCGACATTTAATCTCTTTTGTATTGTCCCACGACTCATTGATTATAGTTCTTAAGTAATTGTATTGTGAGACACGTTCAATTCTCATTTGGTTCACATACAGATTTGCTCCAGTTATGTTTTGCTTGCTGATGATCATTAGCTTGGTTTTGCTGGTGTTTATATCCAGTCCATAAGTTCTAATGGTTTCTGTAATTTGGTTAATTAAGTTTTGCAGCCCTTCTATGGTATTGGAAATCACTATTGTATTATCTGCATTCTTCTTCTTCTTAGTCGTTAACCTGATGCAGGTATCGTGATATCATGAAGCTGTTAGGTAATTTTTCCAATGTTCCTCCACGTTTTTCTATCTTCTGCCAATCTAGCACATTCTGACAATGGAGCGCCAATGGTAGCAACAATATGGTCCGTGTATCGTGTAGGAGATCTACCTCTACTTCTTTTGCCTTCTACTTTTCCCTTTTGCATACCGCAGATTATTAAGCTTGACTCCATTTATTGAGATGTCTTCATCAATATCTTTTATGGCCTCTTCAAAAATGTGCTCCGAGTACAGATTGAATATCTGTGGTGAAATTATGCACACCTCTCTCACTCCTCTTAAGATTTTTACCTGTTCTGTATATTCTCCATCTATTGGAAGTACCGCTGATTGATTACAATACAGATTAGCTTTAATTTTTAAGTCTTTTCCATCAATCCCTATCCTCTTCAGCACTTCCATCATTTGTTCATACCTGACTCTATCGAAAGTCTTCTTGTAGTCAATCAGGCATGCAAAAACATTACAACTGACATCTCTAAATTTCTGAAACAAGATCTGCACGCTAAATAAAGCTTCCCTCGTACCAACGGCGTTCACAAATCCAAACTGATTGGGAGCAATTTGTTCTTCGCATTTCTGGTAAATTCTTTTGTGGATGACCTTTAAAAACAGCTAAAGCAGATGGCTCATTAGGCTTAATGTCCTATAATCTTCACAAACTTTTGCTCCTGGTTTTTTTGGCAATGGTACGAACTCCGATTTGAGCCACTTTACTGGTATTTTTCCTGCCTTGTATATTTCATTAAATATATCAGTTATTATTATATTTGTTCTGTATCTAATAGCTTCAGCAGTTCAGCAGGAATTTCATGAAGTCCCGGTCTCTTTCCATCCTTCATTTGTCTGACGGCTGCCGTTATTTCTTCTGGTAGGATTTCGGGACCTGAATTTTCTTCAACTGTGGGCTCTTGTAAGGTCATGGAAAAGTTTCCTTAAGTATTCTTCCCATACTTTTTTTTATCTTCTTTGGTTATGGCAAGATTGCCTTCATTATCTGTTATTTTTCCGCTGTTGTGTTTTCGAAACTTTCCAGCTATTTCCTTCACCTTTCGATGAACATTGGAGTTATCATATCAACTCTGATACTCTTCTATTTCTTGATATTGTTCTGTTTTTTGTTTCTCTTTGGCTTCAATTATTTTTCTTCTGACGATGGTATGTATTCACTTATATTCTTGGCGATTTTCTTTGTTTTTTTTCTCTGATCCATAAGCTTAAGTATTTCATCGGTCATCCACGATCTACGTTTCTATGTGTCTTTCTTCAGGTGTTGTTCTTTTATTTCTCTCACTGTTTCTTGTATGATGGTCAGATTTTCCTCTATAGTTTCTGCAATTTTGCATGTTAGCACCCTTGTATTGAGGTTTCCACTCACCTTCAGTCAAACATTGGGATCTTTCAGTTTTATAAAATCATACTTCTTCATCGACTTACTTGTAAGCTTCTTCATTCTGACTTTGAAATTACCTACAACTGGTACATGATCAGAATTTATGTCTGCCCCCGGGTATGTTTTGACAGATGTGCAGCTGTTTCTATACCTTTTATTTACTAGAACGTAATCAATCTGATTTCTTACCATCTTTCCCACAGTATCCTGTGGAGATTTCCAGGTGTACAGTTTTCTTGGGTGTAGCTTAAACCAGGTGTTCATTATTACTAATTTATTTGCCTCCGCAAAAATCTCCAATGTATCTCCCCGATCAGTCTAATTTCCTAGACCAAATGGTCCAACTGCAGATGATGTTTTGCTGGCTCCAACTTTGGCGTTGAAATCATCCATAACAATTGTTAGGTCTTGCTTTTTTAACCTTTTCAGGACTTAATTAATGCTATGGTATAGTTCTTCTATCTCTTCTTCTGCTCCTTCTGTTGTAAGTGCATATACTTGAATTATATTAATGTCGATTGGTCTTGCTTGTAGTTGTATAAGCATCACTCTTGCTGAGATTGGGATGAAGTTGTCAACAGATTGTGCCACTTCTTTTGTTAATATAATGCCGACACCTAATTCATGTTTGCCGTTATCTATCCCAGAATAGTAAACGCGGTGTTCCCCGATATTTGCGGTTCCTAAACCTGGCCAACGCATTCCGCTTATTTCCATAATATTTAATTTCATGTGTGCCATTTCTCGTATTGTATTATGGATTTTACCTTCCTGTGCCATGGATTTCACGTTCCATGTGCCTATTCTGATGTCTTCTTTGCATTTCAATCTCTTTGTTATACTTGTAACTGCTCCTCCCGGAGATCCGATTGAGTAGCTTACTTCGGAATTGAATTTCGCTGCAAGCATAGCCATTTAATATAGCTAACTCAGCTAAGGCATATTTAAATTTTTTGTAACGATGGTAGAATGCAAAAAGATAACGTTGCCTTTACAAATGGTAACTAAGCTATGCTACATCCTATGTAGCATATCTAGAGGATAAGAGTTTGCAATTAAAATATTTTTTAATAATTGAAGATCTTTTTGTAGATAGTCTGGATTAAAAAGTTTTAAAACACGTTCTTTTAATCCAGTTTTAATTAGTTTTCAATTAAAATACTTTTTAACAATGAAGATCTTCTTGTAGATAGTCTGGATGTAAAAGTTTTAAAACACGTTCTTTTAATCCTGTTATAAGGTTCATTTTCATCTTATTTGGATGATGAGAGTAATAGCTTATAAATGTAGTAATACATATAGGTTTTCTAAACCATCTGGTTTTCAACATATTGTCTGTATTTCTTACAATTCTCATGTCAAGGAATGGTAGAGAATTATCCACCTCTTCCTCAACTGTAAATTGTATATGTTGATTATGATTGTTGAAAATGTTGACTGTTTCAATAATTTTGTGTTTAGGAAGTGCCAAAACTAAATCATCTACATATCCTTTAATAAACGGAATGAAAAAAGTGCAATGTCATGGATGATGTTATTAGTGATTGTATCAACATATTGTATCAATAATTGATAAATCAATTATTTAGCTCTATTTATGCCGCGTGCTGCTCACTTTTTAAATTTACTTGTCCAAAATTCAGCAGAGTGTTGTTTGAAAGTAACATCTTTTTTATGTTGGTACAAGCTATCTACAATATTTTCTCCGTATCTACACAGAGGTAGAAGTTATTGTCTCATGAAATTAAGAATTCACCTCAGTCGGGGCAGACACTGTTACCTAAAAGAGTGAACACAATCCGTTAGTCTTCTCGTTTTGATGCCGTAAAAGCGTTATAAAGCAAATACGGTTTGATTAAAATATGTTTAATTGAAATATGTCAACTAATATAAATGAGAAAAATGTAAGAGTTGAAGCAGCTTCTCTATCGAAAAAACTTGATTTGTTGGTAAACGAAATAATTTTATCATTCTGGCTTGACGTTTTACAAAGGGTTAATGAGGTTAATAAAGCAGTACAAAAGAAAAATATGGATTTAAGCACAACCGCTCTTCTGTTGTCATCTTTAGCTGTTTGCATTAATTTCTTACGTGATTGTTTTGATCACTACGAGGCCTAAGGAATGTTATTAACAGGGAACGAAAATTATGCTGAGAATAAGATTGCGATTAGGAGAAAAGAATTCGGAGGTACATTTAAGCCAAAAAAAAAAAATGCGAATAACAATGTTATGTGATAAAAACTACGGAAGATGAAGATAGTTTCAGATCAACAACCGAATTCAACAAAAATAGAAGCAGGATTTGGATGAGTCATTTACCCAAAAATTTGTTTATTTAAAGCAGTTGTTAACGTAATTGATACAGGTTTCATCATACCTCTTCGTTTCCAAACGTTAATATTTGCCTGCGTTTTTTTTTTCTCCATAGTGGTAACAAATGTAACTGGCAAACGCTCTCTTTCTAGAGGCCTACTAAATGAATTAAATATAAATGATATATATCATCGACAACTTCGCTTCAGTAAAAGCAAGAAAACAAGCTTTTCAACCTACCTCATGTTAGCTGTTTGAATATTATTAGGTACATTTTTATTTTACTTTTTGAAGTTCGTCCCTATTTTTTTTTGTATTTTGTTAGTAGGTAGTGATTTAAGTTTGAAACCAAAAAAAGTTATTAAAAAGTAATTGTTTTACTTATTTTAATAAACTTGTATTCAAAACATGTTTTGTTAAATTCAAATAAAGTTAAAGAATGTTAAAGACTGTAATAAACCGGCACTATAGATGACAGAACATAAAATAGTCGTTAAAAAATAGTTTATTAAATATTACTTTATTGAAATAATTGAAAAAGATGTCGAACATAGGAAAAAAGAACTTTTTGTAGCCTACTGGAAAACATTTTGCAACTACAAGGAAAGTAGAAAGATTATTATAGCATTCTGCTCGCTACGAAAAAAAAACTGTAGTTCTTCATGAAATTAATTGAAAGAATTAAATAACTCTTAAACTCTGCAAAATGCAACATTCTACGACAATGCAGACATATTGTACGCAACTGCAGGAAAATTGTTTTTTTTTAACGCTATAAAGAGCTGAAACAGGACTTCTTATAAACTCTGAAATGTATAATCTACAAAGGGTGTGTTGTAATTAAAAAACTACTATCTTAAAATATCGTTAAAATCGTGTTAATTAAGCCAAAGTTTGCGTTAAAAGTTTACGTCAAAAAACTTTTTAGATTCACTTGCAACAAATTAAGTCCTTCAAAATACATGTGTGTAAAACCCTGCAAATATCTCTATTAAACGTATATCGATTATATTTCTTACTGTTACTGAAGACTACGTGAGACAGCATTTAAAACTGGCTTTAGTTTTATCGGAAATGTGGCAGAAAATTAAACGCATTGCCCACTTGTTGTTTTGTTCCACAATGTACGTAGATACCATTAGTGTTAAGTGTATTTGCTACACGGTTTAACACAAGATTAATCACTCCGTGCATTTCCGTTTATATGGATTTCAAGTAGTCACTGAATGTACCAGATATCACAGATATATTGCGATTTTTTTTATTATTTATTAATTTTCACTAGATTGAAGTTTAGCTGCGATCAATCATTTATATTACTTTTTAGTAGAGTATTTATTAATTAAACTTTTAAATAAAAAGAAAATAAGATGAAAAAAGTTTTTAAATAATAAGGACCTCAAAAAATCAATGAGCAACTCTTCGAAAAAAACTGTGCAAAGATATATGAGAATTGGCCGTTTCACTACGACTTCTAAATTTTATCTTAAAATGTGACACAAATGAAATTGAACTGATCAAAAAGCCGAATGGTGACTATACTGTGTGCCTTCTTCTTCTTTATCTTCTATCGACGGTTGGAAATTGTCATGGTTGGGCGGGCCCTGTGGACTGCCTCTCTAAACAGTTCTGCACTACTGCATTCAAACCATTCCCTCAAGTTCTTAAGCCACGATATTTTTATAGAGGGCCTATAAGAAACTATTCTTTTTCTTCACGTGTTATCTCTGCGACGGAGGTTGACAATCATCATGGCTATTCTGATCTT